AAATGAGCAGCAGATGCATCTTTATGTCCCTTTTATAAAATTCTTTCTCTGTATTTGAAGAGTACTACCAATTGTCTGAGAATGCTCTCCCCTCCCCTCATAGGATTCATTAGAACCTCTCTGTATAATATGTATTCCTTCACACAGTATCTTTCAGGGGTCAGGGGCCCTTCCTTAGCTTGCCCAAAGCATTCACTTAAGGTAGGGTCTTCTTTTTGTTCTTTTATGAAAGATAGATTACTAGGATTCTTCATAGTGACTAGATCAGCTGTTTCATTCTTTTCTATTATTTCAGAATTCCCAATGTTTTCTTCAGTGTCTTCAACTGGCCTTCCCTGGGAACAAGTTGTTACAAAAACACTCTGTACATGCTCTGATAAATCCAGGCCTATTAAACATGGGACAGGAATTTGCTCAGATATAGCCACTGTCCAATCTTCTGTCCACCCTTTATATTTTATGGGAATTTTTGCCAATGGCAACTCCACTCTTTCAGCTCCAATCCCTTTAATAGAAATTGTCTCAATTTTAGGCTTTTTGTCTCTCACTAAGTATCTTAAATCACCAGCTAGAACAGAATAAAATTGCTCCAGCCCTATTACATTTTTCTTGTTCTAGAGACATGACATTCTCCCGCTCCATCCATTTCTCCAAGTATTGAACTAATTTTGCCCCTAATTGGGAATACGATTCATCAGGCTTTTTGGTCAGGGCATGAAATTTTTGTCACAGGTGTTCTGCATTGATTCCATACCTCGAATAAACCATTAAGTCTCAAAATCTCTGGCTTGATCTAGGGGCATGTGTGAATAGAAGTCAGCTAAATCCCCACCTATTTGAAATCTTAGCACAATCATTTGTTCTTCCTCTCTCACATTAAAGTCCCAGCAAGCTCGCTCCAAGGAAATGAGAAATGAATCTGAGCAGTCACCTTTTCTATATTGGGGAAATTTCTTTAGATCTATTTTTGGAGAAATTTCCCTCAACATTGCTCTTGTTATTGTTATTCAGAGAAGTTAATTCCAATTGTATCATTTGTAATTGAAACTCCATTTCCCCTTGTCTTAATTTGTCTGTTTTCCCATTCTAATTGCTTTTTCATGACTAGCTTCTCAGCCCTGGCTTTTTTTCTAATTTCTTCAATTTAAATTCTTGTAGTACCCTCCATTTTTCAAACTCTTGGGAGCTTCTCTTCCTGAGGCACCTTCATGAGTCTCCTCCTGTTCTACAGATATTTCCACAGGGACTCTGTTTCCCTCCACTTCATGAGGCAAATCTTGAGGATCAGTTACCTCCATTACTACCTTTTTACTTCTTTTAGGAGGCATATGTATTTGTATTTAATCGGATAAGCTGGTTTATTTTGCAGTGAGATAGCCAAGCCTCTGTTTAAAATACTTTTTCCTTTCTGAGTTACTCTGTAGCTCTCCCTCAGCAGCCAGGATTGCTACACTGTTATTTTTGGTGTGTGTGTGTACGCACGCACGCACGCACGCACGCATGCACGCACACACACACGCACGCACGCGCGCACACACACACACACACACACACACACACACACACACACAGTTCTTTGGTCTGAGACACTCTATCTTCTTGCCTCCAGAAACAAAACTATTTCAGATTTTTCCCCAAGCCTGTGCTTGTTCCTGTCACCTCAGATCTGTTTCTGACTCTGGCTTCTGCTTTTGACCCCCAGCGCTCCCTTAACTCTTGGAGCTTGGATTCAAAGCTAGCCCACTGGTCTTCCAAATCTTGAGGTAACCTCAAACAGAATTTTTCCTTCAGAGTCTTTTCCTATCTTAGTCCCCCCAAGATCTGCGTTCAGGAGCCCCACCACTAAGGTTTTCCACAAAAGCTCTAGCGAGTCATCCACTAGTTCATGACAGACCTCTTTCTGACTACAGTGGGGTCTCGACTTACGAATGACCCTACTTGCGAACAATTCAACTTA